GGATGCTGCCCTGTGGAATTCCGTCTTAATGGAAAGCATTTTAGATATTTCTCCATGTACTTTTGTTCTAAACTGTCGGTTTTCCAAGTATGATGTAAGTATTTGAAAGATTGGTGGTAATATTTGTTTAATTTTATAACGAAGTCCTTTATGCCAAACCTTATCAAAAGCTTGACGTACATCTAGTGACACCATTGGGAAATATTCCTTTTCTTCTAATGCAGAATTAATTTTATGGGTTATTCGGTGGCATTGCTGGATAGTTGAGTGTTCCCAACGAAATCCAAACTGAATATTTGGTATCCAGTCTGCGCCTGTAAGGTCTGGATCTATTCTTTTTATTAAAAGTTTTTCTAGTAATTTGGAGATTGTTGATAACAGACTGATAGGTCGATAGGATGAGACTTCACTTGGATCCTTTCCTGGTTTTGGGTATAAAAGTATTTCTGCAATTTTTAGATTGTTAGGCCAATAATTACATCTTAATATTGCATTAAATATATATACATATGTAAGGATCACTATACCCTTTTTTAGTAATTCTTTTAGCATTTTTGGAGTTATTAGGTCAATTCCTGGTGACTTTTTGATATTTAGTCTTAATATTTCTTCTATAAGTTCTTTGGGTATTGTTAATTTTATTGGATTTACTGACGGTTGTTCTGAGTTTAAATAATTAATAATTTTTTAATCTTCTTCATTGTTGTGTGGTTAGAATACTGTTGCTAAATGTTCAGCAAATAATTCGGAGTTTTCTTTATCGCTTCTTGCCCATTGGTTCTGTATGTCTGTGATTTTTCTTACTGCTGGCTATTGCTTGAGGTTTTAAGGATGATTTGATTGGTTTCCATAATGAATGGTCGTATCTATTAAGTTGTGTTACATATTTGTTGACTGACTCTTCTCTTGCAATTTTTAGTTGTGTTTTTAATTTATTGGCTAAGCAATTGTAAAACGTTTTATCCGCTGGGTTCCGACTTTGTTGCCATTTGGCTCTTGCTCTTCTTTTTTCAGCAATGAGCTTTTTAATTTCTAGTGGAATATTTATTCTATTCTAGATTTTATTTTTATCTGCACCGTTCGGTGTCGCTTCTTTTGCAGCGTTTTGTAATAATGTCATAAGGTTGTTTGTAGGTACTTCTATTTCTGACGGGCTTCTTAGTCTTACATTTAGTTTAATGTTTTCATCCAGCATTTTTCGGTAAACGTTCCAATCTGTTCTAGGTCCATGCAGTATTGGAGTAGGTTGTTTGTTAATAACGCAGGTGCTAATTGTTGCAATAATTGGTGAATGATCTGAACATAGATCATAACTTGGAACTCTGTCCATAAAGGTGTTAGATATTCCTTTTATGATGCAAAAATCTAAGAGCTCTGGTCTTTTTTTGAGGTCCGTTGGTCAGTACGTTAGTGTTCCTGTTGATAAATATGAGTATTTATTTTTTTGCATTAAGCTATAAAGCTCTCTCCCCTTTGTTGTTATTAATCTTGATCCCCAGTAAGTGTGTTTACTATTAAAGTTACCAGCTGCGATAAATTTTGGACCTAGAGCATTGAAGAAGTATCCGAAATCGGTTTTTTTAATATTGTGCTTTGGAGGGCAATATACTGCTGCTATTGTTATTTCTTAAGGTAATGATCACACTTTAATTACTGTAGCTTGGATGCAGTCTGTTATATAACTTTTCATCATGAAATGTTTAATTGATTGTTTGATCAAGATTGTTGTACCTCCATGGGCTGTCTTGTCTGGATGGTTAGTATGGTACGTTAGATAATGAGGTATTTTAAAATACGATTTGTCTGTAAAATGTGTCTCACTTATTAATAATACATCTATAAAATTTTGTTGTAGAAATATTATCACCTCGTCCTTATGATTCAGCAGGCCATTGGCGTTCCATTATGCTATTCGTAGAAAGAATTTTCAAATAGAGAAACACGTCTTTTCGTTGATCTCGGCATTTTTGTATTAATATCTCGATGCCAAATAATGCCTTCCTTCTACCAAGCCCCATACGAAATCCAAATTTATTGTCGCTCAGGTTTCTTCTGCATTCTCTGTATATTCGTTGATGTACAATTTTGAGTAAAATTTTCAGCAAATGGCTCATCAGGCTAATTAATCTGAACTGTCAGCATCTATTTGCTTTATTTTTCTTGGGTATAGGTATAAATGTCGATCCAGTGGTATATATTTTGTTAAATAATCATTAATGATCACATAAGCAAAATCTCTCAGAAACATTTGTCTTTGTGTCTCTACACCAAACACTATACCTACAAATTTGTTGTAATGATGACAATATGCAAAATTTATAAACAAAACGAGAATTAAAGTCTGCAGAACCTGGAACAGTGGAGACAACCCTTAAAGAAAATGTTTTAAAATTTAGTAGCACAACGCAAAATATCTATGGAAGGTGATCAAAGGTGTATTATATGATGCCAAAGAAAATAAATAAATCAAAGACATGACATGATTGAGAAGGGTGTTCATGCCAAGATAGAAACTTATGACAAAATTATAAACACCCAGTGAAACAGACAAAGAGGCTGATGATGATTTTTATCATCTTATTTGTCTATTTAAACTTTGGCCACTCGTAGCAAAATTGTATTCTTTAGTGTTTCGTTTATTTGCATTTTAGTTTTTTATCGTAGGTACGCCATTGACCTCGTGATGTACCATCCATCGGCAAGATGTGACGGACCCTCTAATTTATGTACTTCATAAATAAAGAAAAACCGTATGACTATTTCTATCTGTTAATGAATATTGATCAGCTTTAACAGGTACCTGTAATGGTCATACTTAACTGAAATGTTCGTTTTAATGTTATTTATCGAAAGTGCCTTACAGGATACCGGTTAATTGAATGTAGAGGTGGACCAGACGGTTGGTTCTCTTTAAAGATCGGATTCATTGGTATAGATTACCTCTCGGAATAACTCTCCATTCCTGAAATTGCTTTCAAACATTTCAGTTTACCATTTAATTATCAGTTTAACATGTAAATGTTTGCTTGGTGGTAATATCAATTTGACAATAGATTCATATTATGACCTCCATCTTGTAGGCTTTAGCCATATATCCTAAGCATGATTGCTTATCTAAGATCTGTTAAAGTATGTTTTAATATATAATTCTTGCTTATTTGTCATAATATTTGGACGCCTTGAAATGTCTACCTAATAAAAACCATTCTGCTTGTAGAGTTATTGGTTATGTAAACTCTTATCGGGGACCTGATGCTGCGCTGAAACTGTAGAGCCCAAAACTGGGTATACAGGGGGTTGTTAAAATGTTTGTATACCAGGTAGGGTCGTTACGTATTACGTGGGCTCGTTTTTGACATAAAACATGACTTTTTGACATAAAATGTGACATTTTTGACATAAGACTTGACGTTTTATGACATAGAATGATAGCGACTCGAGCCGTGGTATACAGGGATCGTTAAAATGCCCGTATACCAGGTAGGGTTGTTACGTATTACGTGAGCTCGTGTGTTATGTGTGGGATCGTGAAATGTCACGTGTCAAAAGGCCTCATTGTCATGGCGTGACGATACCAAGGATACATAATAGACGAATCAATATTACTATGTCCTAGTTCGAAGGAATGACTAATTTCATGCACTAGGATAACCAAAAAATTGGCTCCACCATCAGGAGTCCTACCATTTCCCGTAACACACAATGGCCCTACCTGGTATACAGACATTCTAACGATCCCTGTATACCACAGCTTAAGTCGCTATCATTCTGTACCATGAAACGTGACGTCTCTCTCTCTCTCTAACACATTATTTTCCCTATTCCTATAGTCATGACAGCTTCTCTCTCTCTCTCTCTCTCTCTAACACATTGTTTTCCCTATGTCTATAGTCATGACCGTGTTGTTCATCTACTTTGCAGAGTAGGTTCGTGCAATATCTTGCATTAATAGAAAATCATCGCCGACATATTGAAAAAAGGGTACTACGTGCTTCGCTAAAATTTACTCAATACCGGCGTGCAGTCAACGAAAACGCAATAAGTACCAATTCAGTGTACGCCTCTCGGGATATTGACTGAAAGCGCCTTCCGAAAATCTCTCTTCAGTTCGACGCCATAATCGTTCTCTCCCATCTGATCAGTGAAGACAGTATCTCTACTCATCCGTAAAAAAACATTACTCCATTGTCCTAAATTCCAATGTAAATGTTTCCTGGAAAATTATACTCTATCCACTCTGTGCCGTGTAAGTAATTTGGGCCCAGTTGCTGGTCTCCAACTTTGCAAACCAAATGCATGTAATCTTTTACGAACTGTTAATACACTTACATTATTACCTCGAACCTTTTGAAGCTGATCTCTTGTTGGCACTGCTGTTAAATAACGATCCCGCAAAATGTTGACTCGTATAAAACGATCATCTAAAGTGGTAGTTTTGCGCTTCCTGTTACTTCCCGCTTTGCGCTTGTTTGTTCCAGTTCGCATAAAACGTTTCACTACCCTTGGATGGTAGAGCGATGAGTGTGTAGTATTCTAGCCACATATTCATAATTTCGTCCATCTTCAACCAGAGCAATGGCTTTTGCATCATTTTCGACACTAAGAACCATGATCAATCATACATAAACAAAATGTAGGTGTCAATATGACATAATAATAACAAATCTTTTTCCGGTAGCACGACTTCGAGCGCCGATATAAGCGTCGGCATTAGGATTTTGACACCATCCAAGTCTAAATGGAATAAGTTCGCCGAATTGATTAGAATTGCCGCCATGCATTCTTCGCATTTTCTATTCGATGGTACTTTCAAATCGTGAAGTACTGCCAAATAACATTTAGCAAGATAAACCGGTAAAATCTCTTCGCCAGTCTTTTTCGCGCACATTATCCGGCATAGTATACCCAAAGCTTCTGCTCTACTGCTTTCGTATTTATCTATGGTTAGATCCGAAGGTAACTCGCTGGAATCAGTTGGGAGAAGTTCACAGACGATTTACCATCCATGATAAACGAGTTGAGACGTTTGGGTTCTCCAGTGTTTTTTTGGGATAGTTCAGAACCAATGAAAGCCGCTTCGAAGAGCCACTCCCTAAAAAGGTGAAGTATAGTGTTGCATTTGGCTCGCCCCGGTGCCAACGGAGTCTTCGGTTCGGAACTAAAGGATGTGAGCGAAAAGATGCTCGAAGTGGACGATGTTTTGGGTATACCCAAAAAAGCATCTACTTGTCCAGCTATCCCCTTAATTGCCTTCAAAAAAATAAGCGGCAAACTCTGTAAGCATGAATGCTGACAAGAATCAGCTACTCCATCCGTACTTATAGCGAACTGGAGAAATTTCTCAGTTTGACTAATCACCTTTGGTTTAGTAAGGCTCACTGGATTTTTCAAAAACCGGTACCAGCTCTGGGCTATGTAATCATTTAAAATGCCAGAAGGAATCAAATCATCTTCACCTATTTGTAACTCAGAAAAAGTTAGTCCATACATAAACAAAAGAACTTTGGAAGTTAGAGCAAGATTTACTTTGTTCCACTGTTCGATAAGTGCCACTGAGAAGAGAAACACTGGGAACATGCTATTAACCATATCTCAAATAAAACATCGTCTTTAACAGTTGGCGGTGACAGTAAGGTTTCATTTATACCCAATAGAAACAACAGAAGAGCTTTCCATGTCACCCTTTCCAATATTCTCGATTCGAATGCTATCTGTTGCAATGTTCTTAATACTCTGTGGCAAAAAACTGCTTGTCTGTGTATGGTATCAAACCCTTCTCCTTTTCTGGGAATGAAGGGATAATGCAGGTGCCCTATAATTTTTCTACAATAAATATTTGGATCATCTAAAATGGGTTGTGGCACACGTATTTAGGATTAGGTAAGGGAGCAGTCAACCATAATAATAACAGTCACCAAAGCCGCCTCACCGTATTACAACTCCAAAATAATCATAATTAAAAAAGTCCTAGATTGTGACGCGTTTTTTTGGCATCTGAGTGTATATATACAATGCCGAACCGATTCATTTGATTCCATGTTCCTTATAGATCCTTAACAACGATTGGATATAGAGCTGTCATCTCTAATTGTACAAGCTGAAAACATACCCGGAATGTTAGCCTTCGAAAACGATCTCCGAACATTCAGAAACAGGCTCTAGGAGGCAAACAGAGGCATTTGCTCGATAAAATATCGAATAATTATTTTGTTTTTACGATTATAAAAGGCAAATTGGGACTGACGCTTGCGTTATTTATGTATGATTATTTTTTATGGCTCGATAAGATAGAAGAGAGTATCTCGTCCAGGCAGCAGGAACCAGTTCTAGAACTGTAAGATATATGAGTGTGTCGTAAATAATTGTACGAGTTTGACAGAAGACCGTAAAAGATTATCTGTCAACTACCGTGAGAGTTACAATGATCTAAAATAAATATTTTTTGTAAATGTGATGAAAGATTAAGAGAAAGTTAATTCTTTAAGATATTGTTTCTTTACAACCAATACTTTACCGATTTTTATGCAATAAAATATCTTTTTGACTAAAGTAAGTACTACTGGCCCCTTCACCAAATGACAAAACTTAAATAATTGCATCGTTTCTGACGGTCATAAATTTATTCTAGCGGTAAATAAGAATTCCTTAACAGCTTTCCCAATCAAATCAATTTTACCTTAAACAATTTCCAAATGTTTCATTAGTATCAACATAATTGAATCCAAAACATAAACACCACAAGTCAAAAACAGTCTCTGTAAAGTTGAGAATATTAAATATTATGAAGAACGATGAATAAATGGTGAAACCTATGCGGAAATACAAGACAGACCACTCCGGAAACATCATCATCATCATAAGTGGCTCGATAATCCATTGTGGATCTTGGCCTGCTCACAAAGAAGTCGTCACTCCTGTCGATGCCTGGCAACTTCCCTCCATCTTCTGACCCTTCGAATCTGTAGATCTTCTTGCACATCATCAATCCATCTCCTTCGTGTTCATCTTCTGCTTATTGTGCCCTCTGGTTTTGAAAATAGTAATCTCTTCGTGTATTCGTGATCTGACATCCCAACAATGTGTCCAGCCCATCTAAGTCTCTGCACTTTAACAAATTTCACAATATCTGGATCGGTGTATAACTAATATAGTTCAAAGTTGTATCTTCGACGCCATATACCATTTTCATTTACGACCCCAAAATCTTTCTAAGAATTTTTCTCTCACAAATACCAAGAAGTCTTTCATCATTTTGAGATATGGTCCACGTTTCAGCCCCATATATTATCAAAACCGGTCTTATTAAGGTCTTGTATATATTGAGTTTTTCTGCACGTTTTATATTTTTATTTTTTAAATGTTTCTATAGACCTCGTGGAATATACATCGTATATAGAAAAAACCCTCGTGGAATTTACAAAGGTAAGTGCAATAGACCATTAACTTTGGTAATTAATAAAAACTACAACTGGGGGCATTTAACATGTCCCCCAGTAGCTGAGAAATTTTGTCGACTTACATTACCTCTGATCTGTGCTGGAGTCTAGGGCTAACTGCTAGAAAGATGGTATGAAAAATGGTATGATGAAAAATAAGGGGGGAGAATGTTAAACAATGAATGACTGTGCTGTAAATTAAATTTGGTATACCAGGTTAAGACAAAATTTAAGTTAGGTAATTAATAATTAAATAATTATCAAAAGTGAAAAAGGGGGATGTTATTACCTAATAATTTCATTATATGAAGTAAGTAGAGATAAAAGTTATTATGGAAGATGAATCAAGGAAAAAGAAGTAGGAGATAAGAACATAAAGATGTAAACTGATGATACTAAAAATAACTGTGATAAGGAAAAGATAGATGTAAAGTGAGTATTTATAAGAAAACCTGTGTGATTAGTTAGGGTGGAAATTATTTAAGAGGATAGGAAATTGGATATTAGAATAAGGATGTTAGTGTATGAATGATGACAAGAATAGTGTTAAGTATGACAGGATATATCGGACAATGATTAAGCTAAGAAAAAGAGAGAAAGAAATGTAGAAGTAAGTAAAACTGGATGTATAGTTAAAAGAAAGAAAGTTGGATCAGCAGAATAATTGTCGATGTAGTGGGATGAAGTCTCTGTTGAGGCTGGTTTGACGATTAACACAATAGGGACTATTTTTCTCTTCTTTGGCGATCTCCAAATCCACAAAAAGGTCAAGTTTGCGATAATCTCTACCTGGGATATTATGAAGAAGAGAAATGTTATCTGGTATCTTGATTGTGTGATTGTGATATTTAAGATGATGGGAAAAAGAAGAAGTATTCTCTAACTTAGAATGTTAATTGTCCCTGGTTACCAGAGATCTACAAGTTCTACCAAGTGGCATCACAGTCAGAACATTGAAGTTTATAAACTCCACTACGTTTGCTGAAGTCAATAGAGTCCTTACTACTGCATATTGATCTACTTAATTTATTGTTAACTTTAAAGGAAATCTTAACGTTTTCAACAGAATTCAGGAATTATGGCTGATAAAGGCTTCTTTATCAGACTGGAGCCACCAATAATCTTTATTTTATTTGCGAGATCGTCGTAGGTTAGAAAGTCCGGTTTCTTTCTTTTTAGTTTTCATAAAAAAGGTTTTTTACAGAGTTGGGTAGTTAATTCAACGCCAAACCCCCTTTTCGAAGGCCATTTTACCCGCTCTCTTCAGTTTCACTCCGAAAACGCTGGTTCCAAAAACTGAGATGCTATATTAAAATTTACACGAAAATTATAATATAGGGAATACCAATTCAGATCGATAATGAAAAACAACTTTTTCTTAAATAATTAGGTCAAAATAAAGACGATTTCTACAACTAGATAAGTGAAATACACTCTGAAATAAAAAAAAACTGTGAAATATTTATACTAGGAGATTTAAATGGCAGAAAAGGGAGAGAAGAAAATAACAGAGTCGTAGAAAGATCATCCACAAATTTACATGGATACAACCTACTAGGAATCTGCGCTCGATAATCGACTATGGAATCCAGCGTCAAACTTTCCAGCTGAAAACAACTGACCTTGTAGCATTTGCAATTCATTAATTCGTTAAAATATATTGAAATCCCCTCGTATAGGTGATATATTAAAGTCCCCTCATATATGTTTGAAAAATCGAAGAATATTTTTTAATGTATTTTAGTTTCCTATTCGTACGTATTAAAACCCATATATGTTTTCAATTCCTTGTTAAGTCGGCTCGAGAATATAAACCATTTTATAGTTTATTGAAAAAGACTGTAAGCTCTGATTGAATGGATTGAATTGACGATAACTCTGATGATGATATTTATTATCTCGAAAGTATACTAAGCTTAATTAATAAATTATTTTACACACTATCAATTTTATTGAAAACATACAAAACCTGCTTACCAGTTAGACCTATTATATAGTTTGTTTATACTTTACAGATGTTACTTCTTCGGTATTTCTTCTGTTTTATTCGAACTGCTGGAATTGCGTTTTCTAATAAATGATTTGCGTTTCAACCATTTAAAGTGTTTGTTTATTCTTATTCGATCAATTTTTAAGAATAATTTCGTTATGTCCAATTCACGTCGAATTTGTAAAATTTTCTGTTTTTGGCCCCTTTTTATGGAAATATGTAGCAGTGAAAAGTAGTTTTGTAGCAGTTAATGGTTCAGTTAATGTTTTAAGTGATGATTGGAAGAATCGTCGTTTACATCCTCGTTTTGTTTCTCCCTGGTTGTCATCCAAGGCTTTTTGGCAGTTTGGAGATGGATTTGTTCGTATGTTCGTTATGCAGAGAGAGTGAAGCCTCCAGTTCCAGTTATGGTTACAGAAATCTTAGTGCAATTTCTTTCTTAGTGCAAAAACGGTAAACATTCTAAACTCTCTACTATGGTCTAAAGATATTAGACCAGAAACGAAATTGACAATCTATCGAACCTTGGTAGAGCGTATTATGACTTATGGAGCAAAAGTTTGTCAGACCACGAAAAAAGATAGAAAAATAATAAAAGTAGTAGAAATGGATTTTATAAGGAGAGCGTGTGGTGTATCCAAAAGAGATCATATCAGGAATGAAGATATTAGAAGGAGAACAAATACTGTATATTCCAGTGTAGACAGAATTGAAACCAGACAACTAGTGTGGTATGGGCACATGAAGCGAACAATTAAAGATAGACGGCCAAAGAAAGCTTTAAATTATATACTACTACAAAGAATAAGAAGAGGAAGGCCTTCAGTTGCCTGGGAAGAAAATGTACGGCACATAATGACATATAGAGCCATCAAAGAAGACGAATTGGTGGACAGAATTCCCAGTTATACATTACACAAAGGATAGCACAAGGTAAAGTGTTTTATCAGGTGTTTTATGTTTAGGTCGAACAAAAGGTGGAAAGAATAATTTTATTGGCACTCGACAGCCGCTAAGAAAGTAAAAAAAAATTATGTTATGAATAAGTACTATGACAATGACAAGTAATAATTAAAATTGCCGTTTCATACTTCTGAAATGTAACCAATATATCTAAATACTATAGTTTTAGTAAACGTTTCATCTTTTCT